ATTTCAAATAGTTAATTTGATACTAATATCGATATATTTTTGTCAAATTTTTATGATATTTTCAAACATATATTTTATTCAAAAATAAAAACATCATCGATTTCTCAAAATCACATAAAGTCATATTATAACATCAACTGAGATAAATAATAAAATGAAATATTAAAATCACGATGTATCTCGCTGCATTACACGAGTACGCTTCTAGTAAATATATAAACCAAATCTTGAGCGCAAATTAAGGCCCACTTAGACGAGTAAAAAAAGGGATTACGATATTATCTATTTATGTTTTGATTAAAAATAATAATTACAGAAATAATAAATAATAAATAAAAATAATTAGGAAAATCCAGAGTGAGTTGACTCATTTGACTCGGGTGGGAAGAACTAGGGGCGTAGTTGTCATTTTCCATAGACCTACTGCAGCTTTAAGTAGAAGAGAGAGAGAGAAGGAGAGATTGTGGGGGAATTTACGAAGAAAGAGAAAAGATAAAAACAACTGTTTGGTGTCTCCTCTCTCTTTCAATCCCTTTTCTCTCTCTCTCATTTTTAGGGTTTTCAACTCTGCTTTTCTGCTGATCGTTTGCTTAGATCTGTACTGTTTCTACTCCGATCTCTGCCGATTTTTAGGGTATGTCTTCCTTTCATCTTCATTATTTCTCTGTATGATTACTTTTCTGTAAATAAATTTGTATGTCTAGGGTTTTCTGTGTTTTCTTTTGATATTTATGTGTTGTAGAACTGTCATTTGATGTTAGTTGCTTTGGAATCTAAGGAAATTTGATTTTGCAACTTCGAGTGTCATCCGGTGGTGGTATGACGCACTTTGATTTTAAAAATTTCCGTTATTTATGTTTTTCGTTTCTTTTAATTTCTTCTGCTAAGTATATCGTAGAAAAATTGCTGTATTTTGATTTTTTTTGCTTGTTGGAGCGTCACAAGGTAAAGCGTGATATAATGTATTATTGTTATGTATTTTGTTAGATTTTGTGAATATATAAAACATGCAGGAGAATATTTATGCCGTTTATTTTTACCTTTTTTATGTTTTGATCTTCTGAGCTCTGTTGATATTGTTCTGTGTTGAGATGAACGATGGTAATCGCTTATTTTCTTTTTTCGATTTTGATAATTCTGACAGGTGCCTGTATATACCTTGTAGTTTACTTTTATTAAAATTAATTTATACTTTATTAAATAATTCTGGGGTTTTCTGTATGTTGTCGTTTAATGTTTTTTGGGGGTATACATGAAGAGTTTTGATGTACATGCTATTGGATTTGTAATACATTCTGAATATACTTCTGATTTATGGTGGTTAAACTGAATGAGTTTTATCTATTTTAGCTGTCATAATGGTGAGGAAGAAGAGAAGTGATGCTTCTGGTGGAGGGGAGGGCTCTGAGTCTCAGGAGGCTGGTTCGGGACGAGGCAGTGGTGCCCAAAGGCCACCAGCACAACAACAGCAACAACAGCAGCAGCAAGGTGGTTATCAGGGAAGAGGACAAGCTGGTTATCAAGGACGAGGGCAGGCAGGTTATCAAGGAGGACAAGGTGCTTACCAAGGTGGACAAGGTGCTTACCAAGGTGGAGGACAAAGTGCTTATCAAGGTGGACAGCCTCAAGGAGGAAGAGGTTGGGTTCAGAGGGGTGGTTATGGTGGTGGCGGTGGAGGCCCACAGCGCGGTGGCGCTTCTCAGCAGTATTATGGGGGACCTCCTGATCAACCTCAACAAGGTCAGCAGCAGAAGCCTCCAAGAGGAACTGCACCACCTCAGCGCCGTGGAGGAGGTGATGTTCGTGGTGGATCTGGACCTACATATGCTGGTGGATCTTCTAGGCCATCAGTTCCCGAGCTGTACCAAGCAACACAGGCTCCTCAGCAGCCTGTGGTCACACTGCAGCCTATGCCACATGGGAAACCAGCTGAAGTGCTTCATGCAGAGTCGTCTTCTAGTTCATCTACCAACCAGATGGTAGATGAGTCAATGACTCAGTTTCAGCAGCTCACTTTTCAGGAAGAAGAGCCCATTCAGGGCGCACCTGCTTCCAGCAAATCCATGAGGTTTCCTTTGCGTCCAGGAAAGGGTAGCTCAGGAACTAGGTGCATTGTGAAGGCAAACCACTTTTTTGCTGAATTGCCTGACAAGGATTTACACCAGTATGATGTGAGTTTTTGGTTGTTTGTTGTTGCAAGTCAGTCTTCTTGTAGCTCAACTATTATTTGATTTATTTCTACATGTGACCATTTTGTTTTTATGATTGGTATAGGTGACAATCACGCCTGAGGTGACCTCTCGTGGTGTGAACCGTGCTGTAATGGAACAATTGGTGAAATTGTACAGAGATTCTCATCTTGGGAAGAGGCTTCCTGCATATGATGGAAGAAAGAGTCTGTATACAGCTGGTCCTCTCCCTTTTGTTTCAAAGGAGTTTAAAATTATTCTTGTTGATGAAGATGATGGAACAGGCGGTGCTAGGTCTCTGCATCTTGTTTATTTTAGTCTTTGCTGATCACTTGTATATATGAGATTGGACATATTTCTGAACGTCTTTGCATTGCTTTCTTAATGCAGGAGAGAGAGAGATTTTAAAGTTGTGATTAAATTGGCTTCACGTGCGGATTTGCATCACCTGGGAATGTTTTTGCAGGGGAAGCAAGCAGATGCGCCACAAGAAGCACTTCAGGTTCTGGATATTGTTCTACGAGAGTTGCCTACTAATCGGTATGGACGATAACATCCGCTGATATCTTTGGTTATATCTAATTACATACTAAATAATTGCTGGTCGGATCTTATGTAGATATTGTCCTGTGGGACGGTCATTTTATTCTCCTGATCTGGGTCGTAGACAATCACTGGGTGAGGGGTTAGAAAGTTGGCGTGGTTTCTATCAGAGCATACGACCTACACAGATGGGGCTTTCTCTAAATATTGGTCAGTATGTTAATTCTAATTGTAGGTTTGTTAGGTTTTCTGCTATTAGGATATAAACAAGTTTGAGAGTAGCCTTTTTTAGCAACTTTGACCTACATTTATGATTCATCTTTTAATATTGTCGTTTGATGATGCAACATTCCATCATTTTGTATAGTTTTTCCTTGATTGGAAATGTGTTGTTTGTGGCTTGTTGACATGCTCTCTAAGTTTTTGTGGAGGTTTGGTAATTCAGAATCCACATTGCTCCACATCTCTACATAACCTTTGCAAACATCTAGAGCATAATATCTGCTAAATGAAAAAGCAAAGCAATGGAGCCTCTAATTGCTACATCTGGGTCAATTGTGGCTGGGATGTGTTGTAGTGGGGCCGTAATTTTGCTTTATTGATGCTAAGAGTTGGTCAGGAGCAATTGACGCCCAACGAGGTTTTAACAATATGACTAGTGAGGTGCTGAGCTCGTCAGAAGGGGAAACGACTCACCCGAAATGGTTTATGATATAGAAGTTCATGAATCTGGTAGTTTTGTTGTCAACAGAAGTTGTACTGGTCATTCTTCCAGTCTTTCTTGAAATCTATTGCACTGATATAGTTGTATGACATATTGAGTTGCAGATATGTCTTCAACTGCTTTCATCGAGCCACTGCCTGTGATTGACTTTGTCACACAGCTTCTGAATAGAGATGTTTCAGCAAGACCATTATCTGATGCTGACCGGGTGAAGGTTAGCATCTTTTTGAAACTTCTTGTAGTAGTTTGTTTAGTAAATGCAGGCTCTGCACATCAATACTGGTTTTTGTGAAGAGAGCAAGACACTGTACTTCATTTGTTTCTTAGTAACAATAATGTGATATCTACTATCACATGCTTATCTGTCAGAAAACTGTATTGTATATTGTTATCTTAAATGTTTGTCACAATTTTTTTAGATCCTTGTACAGCCTTCTCTTAACCTGATATTTGTCTTTTTTTAATCAGACATTTACAACAGTTGTATTGTCAAGTAATTTATTGCTTCGAACTTCTAGTAATAAATTAGTTATATTCTAATGTAGTGATGATTATAGTTATTTATCTCTAAGGGGGGACTGCATGGGCTTGATAAGTTGAACAGTCATTGATGTATATTTCTCATTTTTACAATCACTAGATCAAAAAGGCATTGAGAGGAGTTAAGGTTGAAGTTACTCACCGTGGAAATATGCGACGGAAGTATCGCATATCTGGTTTAACATCTCAGGCAACACGAGAGTTGAAGTGAGAACTAATCCTAGCTCTCAACTTTATTTTTATTATACCATGTTTTTTTGATTATATCATGACATGCTTCATTTCTTTTGTCACACATCAGCTTTCCAGTTGATGACAGAGGCACAATGAAATCTGTAGTTGAATACTTCCGGGAGACCTACGGATTCACCATCCAACATATACAATGGCCGTGCCTGCAAGTTGGAAATACTCAAAGACCAAATTATTTGCCTATGGAGGTTCGAACATTGGTTCATTTTCTCTCATGTGATAGGTCGACATGAAATGCATTCTAATGGTGTCAGTTTTCAGGTCTGTAAGATCGTGGAGGGGCAGAGGTATTCAAAGAGGCTGAATGAGCGACAAATTACAGCCCTTCTCAAAGTTACATGTCAACGCCCTCAGGAAAGAGAGATGGATATCTTGAAGGTTTGCATTTTCTTCTGTAAACATTTGAACTTCACTTGCTGCTCTGGCTTTGCTATGCATAGCTTGTTTGCTTGAATTGGGAACAGTAGTCTTCATCTTTGTGCTTGGGTTTGATGGAAGATTGTTGTTGTGGAAGGGGGAGGGGCAGATATACATGAGAATTTTAGAATTAAAATATCTGTTTTGGGAGACTTCTCTCATGTCTTCTTTTAAAAGTACTGGCTTCTGCAAACAAGGCAGTTGCTCAAGATTCACCCCTTGTATAATATTTCACTTCTAAACTCCTGATGAGACTACTCTAGGTACTTTCTTTCAATTGGTTGCCATCCACTTACATGCATGTGTCTTGCTTCTGCAGACAGTCAGTCACAATGCTTATGGTCAGGATCCTTATGCCAAGGAGTTTGGGATAAAAATTAGCCAGAAGCTAGCCTCGGTTGAAGCTCGAATATTGCCTCCTCCCTGGGTAAATGAGTGAACCTCTTTGTATTTGTTGTTTCTGTATGCAACGTTCCTAACTGATATCTTTGCTTTTTTATAGCTTAAATACCATGATACAGGCCGTGAAAGGGACTGTCTGCCTCAAGTGGGCCAATGGAATATGATGAATAAGGTAGCTGCCTGTTTCAATGTTTAAATTAGCAAGTAGTAGCATTTGTACTTTGCATTGACCGTAGCCATCTAGATAGTGTTTATTGATTAATCAGCAAAAAATGCAAATATGTTTTGTTTAGTATTTGCACAATATATGTTGGAAGCATTCTTGATTGGTGGGTTGTGTAGGATTGCTCATCTTATGCCGATACTTGTAGCTGCCTTCTCTATTTTGTGAGATGCTGTGGATGCCTACTTTTCTCAGCTGTCACTATCTGTAGTTTTTGTTTTTAAAAATGTGCATTTTTTGTATTATATGTACACTCAAGCTTATACAATTTTCCTCCATTGTCTGAGATTCTTAACGTATATATGTTTGGAATTTGTGACAGAAAATGGTGAATGGTGGAACAGTCACTAGCTGGATCTGCATAAATTTTGCACGCAATGTACAAGACAACATTGCTCGTGCTTTTTGTCAAGAGCTTGCTCAAATGTGCAATACTTCTGGCATGGTATTCAAAAGAAGACTTTTTCATCTTTTTATTAACTGCAAGTCAAATGCCTATTGAGTTATTTATTTTGTTTATATTTGTTTGCTTTTGCAGGCATTTAATCCTGAGCCTGTGCTTCCGGCACTCAGTGGTCGTCCTGATCAGGTTGAGAGAGTCTTGAAAGCTCGTTTCCATGATGCCATGACAAAACTTCAGCCCCACAAAAAGGAACTTGATTTGCTAATTGTCATTCTGCCAGACAACAATGGCTCACTTTATGGTATCAATTTCTACCTACTGGAGTGGATTTGTTGTAAAATCTTGTTTTTTTATATCGGGTTTATATAATTTATTGTTTTTTTTGTGCAGGTGACCTGAAAAGGATATGTGAGACTGATCTCGGCATTGTTTCTCAGTGCTGTCTGACGAAGCATGTCTTCAGGATGAGTAAGCAGTATCTTGCAAATGTGGCGTTAAAGATCAATGTTAAGGTTGGAGGAAGGAACACAGTTCTTGCTGATGCATTATCAAGGCGAATACCGAATGTTAGTGATGTTCCAACGATCATATTTGGGGCTGATGTCACACATCCACACCCAGGAGAAGATTCTAGCCCGTCAATTGCAGCTGTATGATACTGTCATCTGTCAACGATTTTGTTCTTTCTCTAAGATTGTACTGGTTTTTGTTTTTGATGACAGCTTATTTGAAAGAAATGTAGGTTGTGGCTTCCCAAGATTGGCCTGAGATTACGAAGTATGCGGGATTGGTTTGTGCCCAAGCCCATCGTCAAGAACTCATCCAAGATCTATTTAAGGAATGGCAGGATCCCAATAGAGGCAAAGTATCTGGTGGCATGATCAAGTATGCTTTTGCTACTTTCTACTCTCTTTTTCAATGAGATGGAAAAGATGGAAAATATCCCCACCTTGTTTTTTGTGGATGCTTGTACCTCCTGATTTTGCATGAATACTGTTGGTCTAATACAAATTTTTTTCTGGTTTGAAATGAATTTGTTTATGCGTGAAAATACAGGGAACTCCTCATATCATTCCGTAGAGCAACTGGGCAAAAACCACAGCGTATCATCTTCTACAGGTATTTCATCTAATCTTTTATAAATGTTTCTTCGTTTTGGGTAAATTGCTTAAAAATGCAATATGCTTTGAATCTGTTCCTATTTTGTGTGACGTTCATTCGAAACCTTCATTTTGTTACTTAAGATGTACATCTCAAACATTTAGGTACCTGGTTTACATCTGAGAATGCACAAAAATGCAACGTACTTTGGTCTAATTGTTTGAAATATCACATCTAAGGTACCAAAATGAAGGATGTGGAAGTGTGGTACACAAAAATAGGAATCAAACCAAAATATGGTGCATTTTCATGCAATTTGCCCTTTCGTTTTTACGTGTTCACAAATATGTTTACTTCTATAGTTATGCACGTTTGTTTATTCAGGGATGGTGTCAGTGAAGGGCAGTTTTATCAAGTTCTACTTTATGAGCTTGATGCAATCCGCAAGGTATAATAACCTTAAATACATAGTATTATCTTGTCAACCGGTGTTGCTTTCCATCTTTGTTGATCTCTGGTTTGAACTTGAGACAGGCTTGTGCATCATTGGAGCCGAACTATCAGCCTCCAGTGACATTTGTTGTGGTTCAGAAACGTCATCACACCAGACTATTTGCAAACGATCACCGTGATCGTAATTCTATAGACAGGAGTGGAAATATACTGCCAGGTATGCTATATCATTTTAACTCTATTTGGTATCCAACATAAAGATGCCAAAAAAGCTCAATTCTGGCCTGAGCCCTTATGATCTCTGATCCTGCATGTCTATTCTTTGATGGTAAATTTACTTTTCATCATATGGAAATGTACAGGCACTGTTGTCGATTCTAAGATCTGTCATCCTACGGAATTTGACTTTTATTTGTGCAGCCATGCTGGCATTCAGGTATGGCACTTCACCCTTGGAATGGGATAGGATATATGGCAAGTTGCTATTACATTGTTTCAGTTCATATTTTGTCACTTGCTTTCAAAACCTTCGTAAAGTACATCAGATGTACATCTCAAACATTTATGTACCTGGTTTACATCCGACAATGCATGAAAATGAATGTATTTTGGTTGATTCTTATTTTATATCACATCTGTGATGCCAAAATGAGAGTTTGGAAGTATATTACACAGAACAGGAATCAGATCTAAGTATGTTGGTCATGCCCATTGGGATTTATGATTGAAATATTTTCCTGTAGTTCCCGAATTCTAATCTGATCTGTATTTGTTGAATAGGGGACAAGCCGTCCTGCTCACTATCATGTGTTGTGGGATGAGAACAAGTTTACAGCCGATGCCCTGCAATCCCTCACAAACAACCTCTGCTACACGTATGTTGATTGATCTTTTTCCGATATTTGCAAAATTTAGCTTTTTTTTTACTTCCTTCTCTTGATTGGTTTGGTTTATGTTGGTTTTGACAGATATGCAAGGTGCACACGCTCTGTATCCATTGGTGAGTTTTGTTATTCTTGCATTTGGTTCGGCTAACATTTGACATGTTATTCATGTTTCTTACATCTGTTGTCTCTATCTATCATCATATGCAGTGCCACCGGCATATTATGCTCATCTGGCTGCTTTTAGAGCACGGTTTTACATGGAACCTGATACATCTGACAGTGGGTCAATGATTAGCGGCGCTGCCGGTCGCGGAATGGGAATGGGCATGGGTGGTAGAAGCACACGTGTGCCAGCAAATGCAGCGGTTAGACCTCTACCTGCCCTCAAGGAGAATGTGAAACGGGTTATGTTCTATTGCTAGAATCATTCTCGTAAGTTGGTTTGTTTTGTTACTCGTGTGATGGAATTTTAAGGCTAAACTGGTAAGTGTCGTTTTTCTTGCTACTTTAAAACAAACGAGAGGATCTGTGGTTGGTTTGTTGCTACTTGAATTTGCTTACTCTACTGCTGGCTGGTAACTCTTTGGTAACAACTTTTAAAATGCCTTTGTTTTGTTGCTTCCCTTCCCGTGTTATATATATCGAGGGACAAAATGAACGTTAATGAACGTTAATCGTCATGATGAATGTTACATCATTGATCATGAATATCTTGTGAATGTTGTGAACAGGTGGATGACGAGTGGCATGTGTTTTTTTTTATCATCATGAATAATGAACGTTAATCGTCATGATGAATGTTACATCATTGATCATGAATATCTTGTGAATGTTTTAAACACGTGCGCTTTGGTTTGTTCCCTGGTTTGCAATGGAAACGATTAAGAAGTAAGAACCGTGTACTAGTTATGGTATTTCACATTGTGAAATACCATGACTAATAAAAGTTGGTTTAGTGAGTTGTCATAAATTATTAAGGGGGTGTTTGGTTGGGGGTATTAATAATAATTAATGAAAATGATTATARTAGAAGATGTTTGGTTTGTGATAATACAATGGGCCCATTCCCAAAACAGCCCAACTTTTCATTCCAACTCAATTTGGGGGGAATGAAATTTCATTCCCGCTTCCAAAAATCGGCTACCTCCAAAAATCGGCTACCTCCAAAAATCGGCTTACTCCAAAATCTCCTCTTCAAGAAATCGGTTCAAGAAACTATTCCTCTTTCAAGTAATCGTCTTCCAGAAATTGAGAATCTCTTACAGGTATGTTCYTATTTCTCTAACCTAACTTACATTCATGTTTTCGATCTATTGGGTCGATGTCAATGAAAATGAATGGGTTTGATGAGTCTTGTGGTTCTCCACAATAGATCTTTGTAATGATGGTTAGAGGTTCCCAGTTGTGCCTAATCRGGCTTGGTGATTGTTTTCATATATTTGTCGATTACTGATGTATTACGATGGTGTTTATGGCATCTCTTTTTATATTTTTTTAATTAATGTGTATCAAGAGGAAGCTTTCTCTGCTCAAAATAAATCAAGTCAGGTGCAAAGATGGTTGTGTCCACTAATTTAACCACTCAATTATACACAGATCACCACAATCAATAGAAAAACATAATGATTATATTGCTCAATGTTTCTAGCAAGTTTATAGTTGCTCTGAAATGGTGAACATTGAATTTTGAGTTCAAACCCAGTATTCAAAAAACACAAGAGCTGTAAAGTATAAACAGAATCATGGCATCATTAAATTTTATTTTTGTTTACAGCACTTTGTATTGAGAGTTATATGATCATCAGTTCATCCTTATGATGGAAATAAGAACAATTACTAGTTGACATTCATTTCTAAGAGCGAAGGGGTYCATTTAAAATTAGCTTTTAATTTTATTTGCAAAGAAAARTTTGATGGGATGAATTGATGATCTGAAGGGTCCTAACCCAAAAAGAAATCATGCGTATCTACTTTATCTTTACGCCATTTATGTGGTATAATGTGGTTGCTTTGTAATGATGGTTAGAGGTTCCCAGTCCTAATCAGGCTTGGTGATTGTTTGAAATCATATTTCTTTGAACCACCTAGACCAAGCTAATTTCCAGCTCTGTAAATATATGCCAATATCAATAGGAAAAAATTGTTAAAAGTTGATAGTTGCTGTAAATACATAGCTGCTGTAAATATATAGTTGCTGTAAATTGATAGCTGCTGTAAATATATAGTTGTTCTCCATGAAATAGTTGCTGTAAATTGATCCGTAGCTGCTCTAGAATGATCCATAGCTGCTCTAGAATGATCCATGGCTGCTATTGATGTGTAATGTTCCATGAAATAGTTGTTGTAAATTGTTGTTCGATTCCTACTTTATTTGTTTGATTCATTGCACCTAGTTATAGCATCTTCAGTTTTTTGTTAACACCATATAAAATGAAGTAAACTTTTGTTTAAAATCTCTTTTGTAGATCGAAATGGCTCGATCTCCGGTTAACAAAAGGCATTGCAAACTAAGGAAACTTTTGTTGTGTCAACAAACAACAAATAACATGTTACTCTTTGTACTCGCCAACTACTATGTTGTTATTTGTTCCTACATTCGATATAAGATTCGTGAAATCAAAACAAAGGATGAAAAAATAATGGATAGGATGAAATGGATGTTTAGGTTGACAATGGAAAGTGATTCCGTTTGTATTAGTGAACTTCGTATGGATAGAGCAACCTTTAGGGTACTATRTGATATGGTAAGTGATGTTGGATGTTTAAAGCCTACTAGAAACACGTCTATTGAAGAGGTTGTTGCAATGTTTTTATACACCTTGGCTCACCACAAAAAGAATAGAACAATTAGTAATTTATTTTTTCGTA